AATTGATCTATGTATTGTGATGAATTGTATGAGCCCCAATAAATTGATTTAAAAAAAAAAAAAAAAGAAAAGAGTTTAAACAGTTTGTTAAAACTTTCCATCTTAGGTCTGTAACCACTGCTATCTGGCGGTCTGTTTTATAATGCAGGGTGAGAACTTTCCCCACCGTGTCTGGTAAATGCTGTCCGGGTTCCTTTGCCAAGAATGTGTTGTCCGAAATGCCTGTTGAGCTTGCAGAGATGGAACTCCACCCTAAGCTTGGTCCTAAGTATGCAGGGAACGTTATGATAGGGCAGAGTAGGACCAGTGGTCAGACGAATGGAAACAGTGGGGAGACAAAAATATACATGGGCAATAAAACTCAGTATTAAAATAATGTTACGTTGTAAGCCTCTGAAGTTTGAGTTACCTGTGAGACCCGCCCCTTTTCCTGCCTCCAAGCTGCTTAGCCCTGTGTAACCCTATACATTTGAACGAACCTATCCCTCAGGTATGTTACCACAAATTCTTCTTAAACAGTCTATAATTAACTTGTTTTCCTGCTTTCTCTCTCCTGATAACCTGTGGGTTTTGTGTTTTTGAATCCCAGGAAAGTATCCCACCAAAGTCAGGAAGTATTTAACCAGACCTGGTCCTGCAAAAAGGTGTCCTGATAGTGTAGTGGATTATATGCTCATCAGCGGTTCAAACTTACCAGTCCCACCAAGGGAGGAAGATGAGGTTTTCTGCTTCCAAGCGATGTACAGCCTCAGATAATTCTACTCTGTCCTGCAGGGTCACTATCAGTCACAATGGACGTGAGGGCCCTGCAAACACAAACAGAATGAACAGTGGCAGCCTACTGCTGACCCCAGAAAAAGCGATCTTCAGCCAAGGACCAAACAACATCCCTGGAAAGATGCCACCAGGCCAACTCAGGCAAAATTTAGAAGCAAGGAGGATTACAAACCACATCCTGGCCAAGATTCATAATGCCGGGCTAATTTACACCATGACCTTTCCTCAGGATCTGCTAAGTTCCTGGTTCACAATTCCCTCAATTTATATCCTGGTGTGGTATATAAAACTGCAAACCCTCCCTGGAGGCTCTCACCCAGACCCAGTTCCTTGCTTGATCACGCAGTTTTCCCACTTTGCTTCCATCCAGTCTTGTTCTTGGCTGCACTCTGTAGACCTGGGCTGGTACCATCTGTGACTAAGGCATGAACGAGGGAAATCGAACTTGCAAAACAACAGTGATGTTTTACATCATGCCAACTAGAGAAAGAGTCAAGTCTGCGTCCAATGAGTACGTCCTTTTACAAACACCAGTGGAAATTGGTGCTCCCTTAGATCTCAATGGGATGGCATCTAGAGCCTTTGAAGACTAATATCTTCACCTATCCAAGGTGAAGCAGAGAACAACACCCGTGAAGAGTCTTACCAAGGAGGAAATTGAGGTCCTCCTTGGCAAACTGAACAGGCATCTTGATTCCCAGATTCTCCAGTTCTGTTTGTTCTTTCATTTAACGTCCCACCAATGATCTGAAAACGATTGCAAAACCTTGTTGCTAACCGGGGTGGAAAGAGCTGAATGAGGTCTTAAGATTCAAATTAAACACAAACTCCGCACCAACACGGCGCGCCGAGCGGCCACCGCTGGCTCCCTCACCCCCAGGTGTACAAGGCGGACAAAAGCTTACGTCAGCCAAGCGGTCCCCAGCCACTTTTTTTTTTCAAACATCTTCTACCTTTCCCGAAAGTCCTCGCGGCGAAGATGACAAGCCAGCGAGGGACGAACGTGATTGGCCTGCCCGTGATAGGTGCTGACCAATAGGCGCGGACTTGCCTAGGAGCGGGCGGAAGCGCCCCGCGGAGCTGGGGGGCGGGGCGTCACTGGTGGAGCGCGAGGGGATTAGAGGCTTGGGGAGGAGCTTGTGCGGTAGCGCCTGCCCCTTTGCTAGCCGCCGGGGCCCGTCCCGGTTCGGGGAGTCCACTCGTCCGTCCGCAGTCGTGCTGGGGAGCCTCGCGGGCCGGGCTCGAGAAGCCGTTCACGCCGGCGGCAGCGGGGGATGGAAACGGGGAACGCGGACAGGTAAGGTCCGGGCGGGGCACCGTCCCTCCCTCCCCCAGCGCCCCTTGCGGCGGGCTGGCGGGGGCGCGCGCGCACGCGCGCACGGGGCTGAGGCGCCGCGGCCCGAGTACAAAGGCCCGGCGGCGCGTGCGCACGGCGGCCCGGCTCTGCCGCCGGCTGGGGCCCCTGCACCTGGACCTCCACTCTTTCCCCAGGACATTAAAACGTGCTCGTGACCCACCAGCAGCCTCACTTGAAGGTTTCTCACCGGCCGCCGTTCTCGGCTATGGTTCCCTCCCGCCTCGTTCCCTACAGGAAGATTTGTAAAGATGGAGTGTCGCACTTCCGGCTCCCGGACCGCCCGCCGGGCGTTTTCAGGTTAAAGTGGATGGACAGACGGCAGCTTCCTCCCCCAAGATGGACTTAAGCACGGCCATTGGGTTACTGGATAGATAATGTCGCTGTGCTGGGGCTCACGACTTTGGGAAATGTGTGTAACACTCGAAGGAAATCGATCAAAAATGTCTTGAGATTTACAATGGGTTGAGGACTCGTTTCTGAATATTTTTAAAATATTCTTTGGGAAGTGCGAGGTTCGTGGGGAGGCTTTGCCAAAACAGATTTAGGGATTTGTACTGGGCAGGCCAAATGTACTGGGCAAGCCAATCCATTAAAATGCTAGAAAAAAAATGATGCTAGAGCCTTGAAAGAAAAAAAGGGATTTCATTGGAATAATATTGTATTAGACTTAATGTGCGAAACAGACTTTTTACTCCTGAGAAGAGTTTACAGTCTCAGACATTCAAGGGGGCTATTCTGCCCTGGCCTATGGGGTCCGGATGAGTCAACCTCGACTCTGGCAATGAGTGAGTGAGTGAGATTTACAGTAGGATTATTCTGACTCATTTGCTAATGGGCCTGAGTTTAAGCAAGACACTTCCCTTCTCTGGGCCTTTTCGTGCCTATAAGTAAGGACATCTCTGGCGAATGTAGGTACCCATTGTCTGCATAGACGACCCTGGGCATGCGCAAATTTGGAAATACATTTCTAGAATCTCCGAAAAGAGTTATAAACCAGATAAAAGTGTAGAGCGGCCTGACTGTAGAGAGCAAATCCAGCCCTAAAATGCTGCAGTTCTTTCTCAGAAGACCTCTACAAATGAGAGAATTCGCCAGAACTTGTGGGAATCTTTCTCACCTTTATAATCTAATTCTGAGCAGAATTGAAATCTGGGTAAAGACTACCATCAAAAGAATTGTTAAGCCTTACTCAGCAAAGTGATAGAGCGTTGATAACACTGTTTAGCTCAAAGCCGTGACTTGACAATTCTCTTCACGTCATCCACAGGCCTATAGGACATTTTAAACAATTTTGGCTTGGAAAGCTTTCACCTTCCAGAAATCTGGAGGATGCTGTGCTGTAAAGAATCTTTCATTGGGGGTGTAGAGATGATGCAGCTTCCTCCTGGGTGAATCTTATGACCTCAGATTTGTGATAAGGAATGGAATGCTGGATAGGCTTCATGGATGATATATTTTGCAAGATTAATAAACCATTCAAGAGTTACAGCTATAATTGAATAACCCAGAAAGGAAAAGGGGGATACTTTGGGGAGATTCATTTTCTGCTGGTGAACTTACGTGTAAAGAAGCGATTGACTGAAATTGGGAAGTAGCAGTGTAATTGAAAAAGAAGGATATAGGCCAATAAGAATACAGACAGGAAAAATTAATATTCAAATGAAACCACGCTTTTAGAAATGTTAAAGATAACAGGGAGGACTTTAAAGTTAGGTTTGGACAGGGAGAAAGGTTTGGATTTTTTGCCCAGTCTAATAGCAATGACAGAAAACAATGAACAAGCCTATGGTGATTTGCATAAGCTAGCCAAGAGATTAGCAGTTCTGACTCATGGGTCGCTCTGTGGATCCTGTAGGATCAGTATGGGTCCGAGTTGATTAGTGGGTGGTGGATTCAATTTTTGGGGTTTTGTAAGAAGGAAACACCATCCTTGCCAAAGGATGTGGTTATGAGCAGCTTTGATCATCACAACTGTAATTTCTGGAGAAATTGGTGCTAGACACTTTCACATCATGTTATTTTTTCCTAAGAAACTGCAGGGCATAACAGTTAAGCCCTCCACTGCTAACAAAAGGTTGGCTGTTCAAACCAAACAATTCCCTAGAAGGACCTGGTGATCTGCTTCCATCAAGGTGACACCTAGGAAGCCCTCTGGGATAGTCACGTGGTTCTGTGGAAATCAACCCAGCGGTACCTCACAGCGACGTCAAATGGAAAATGATTTGTCAGTCTGGAAATGTCAGAATAAATATGAGAGTTTCAAACCTCAAGCTAAATCAGCAAGGGCATTTAAAAGAGGTTGTAGCTGCTTTAGCGGAAATCCTATTTCTTGGCCTACATGAGCTAGATTCGACGTGAGGCCACATGACAGCCTTCTTCAAGGACTTGGAGAGAGACAAGAGAAAATGAAGCCTAGGTATACACACCCTGGGTCTTATTTCCTCAGGGAGTTCAGTCTGCTGTACTTTATTGACATTGATCCTGAACAAAATGCTTGAACTTTATCGGTGGTTGTGGAACATTTTAAAGCGGAACTAGTAACCAGTAAGTTATCATTAATTCAGGGAGGGTAGGAGCAGGTTGAAGATGGGGTTAGGTAACAAAAACAAGACTTACCCAACCAAGTTCATTTTCTTTAGAATAGTCTAGAGCACCAGTTCTCAACCTGTGGGTCGCGACCCCTTGGGTGGTCAAATGCCCCTTTCACAGGGTTCACCGATTCATAACAGTAGCAAAATTACAGTTATGAAGTAGCACCAAAAATGATTCTATGAGGAACTGTGTGAAAGGGTCGTGGCATTAGGAGGTTGAGAACCACTGGTCTAGAGTAACATTTCCTCGTGCTCCTGCAGATCCTGGTCATGGACCCAGTGGCAGTTTGAACAGGTCAGGTGAATACTGTATGGTTTAAAACCCAGACAGATGTGTGTCAGGCTTGTTCCCCCCTCACACTGATTCAATCTGCTTGCTGAGCAAAGAATCCAAGAAGCTGGACAAAAGAAGGAGGAGGCCACAGGAGTGGGGGCAGGCTTATTAACCTGCGGCATGCAAATGACACACTCTTGCTTGCTGCAAGTGATGAGGCCTTGAAGAGCTTGATGAATTGCAATTCAACATTAAAAAAAAAATCACAACTGGACCAGTAGAAGCCATTGTGAGGTGGTGAAGTGAAATTGCTTTTCTGTGATTCTTCTATCCATTGGTCTGTAATCCCCACTCACTGATTGGTTGCAAAGGTGCAAATCACGCTTAGAGGATGCTAACTGGAGGATTGGTCAGTTTTGCCATTCCTCCGTTTATAAGTGAGCTGTTTCAGAAACAAGAGAATTTCTGGGACCATCGAGGAAGAAGAGCCAACAGCAGAGCACATTTGAGGTCCCTCCCTGAAGTGGTAGAGACAAAGGCCATACCACAGACGCCACCGTGCTGAGGCCAGACATCGTGAGACTGAAGCAGAGCCATGGGCTAGCTTTCCAGTCCACAGAAGAAGGCAGAAGCCAAGGGACCATGCGGCAGAGTGGTTGAAGACCAGAAAAAGACTCGGCTGCTGACTGAGGAGCGAGACTGCCATGACCGATGGACTGTATCCGTAATGTGTTGTGATTCTGACTTACAACCTGTTAACTTCCCTAATAAACTCACGTGAACTTGATTATCGTCTGTGTGGCCATTGCAATGGATCCTTGAACCCAGCAGAGTAGAGTGCCGTGGGAGGAAGAGTTGGTGTCAGGGTAGGGTAAAGGAATGAGAGACAGACATATCTGACCTCTGCTTTGTGGCCCCAGCCCTTGAGCTGGTGTGGAAATGGATTCTCCTCTGTACCAAAGCTGGTGGAGCTCAGATGTGACTTCCATGTTGTTTCCTCTATGATAAACAGAAAAATGGGTTGACCATTTTGCTTAGCTCTAAAAGCAATATTCATAGAAACAGCAGTGAAATCAACAGATGTGTAGCCTTGGGCAAGGCTTCCCAAGACTTTTTAAAGCGTTAAAGAGGAAGGATGTCATTTTGAGGACTACTAAGGCATGCCTGACCCAAGTCATGCTGTTTCCGATAGCTTGGTATGTATCTGAAAGTTAGACAGTGATAAAGAAAGGCCATGAAAGAATTGATGTGTTGGAATGATAATGTTGGTGACAGTCCCACAGACTGCCAAGAAGATAAACTAATCTGTCTTGGAAGAAGTACAGCCAAAAAGCTCCTTAGACGCAACATTGGTGAGACTCCGTCTTACGTACTTGGGGCATGTGGCAGAGACCAATCCCTGACAAAGGACATCATGCTTCATCCAGTAGAGAGTTAGCGAGAAAGAGGAAGACCCCCAAGGGTATGGGTTGGCTGCAACAATGGGCTCAAACGTAACAATAATTGTGACGATGGTGCAGGACTAGGAGGTCTTTTAAGTGTTTCATATATGTTAACTGAGGAGCCCTGCTGGTATAGTAGTTGGCAGTTCAAAACCACCAGCAGCTACTGTGAACATTTACAGTCTCGGAAACCCACAGTGGAGCGCTGTGAGTCAGCATTGACTTGATGGAAGTGAATTTGTTTTTCGTGGGGTTTGGATATATGTTAAATATTACCAGTGAGATAGGTGCTATTCCATTTCACACAGTTGAAAACCAGGCATAAAGAGGTTGTAGAACTTGCCACCACATAAGAAGGAGCAGAAAGAATTTTAACCCTGGGATCTGGCTGCAGATTCTGCCTCCCTAGCTAACCTCGACATAGTGGGTTAAGTTCTGGTCTGCTAACCCCACAGTCAGCAATTCAAATTCACTAGCCACTCCATGAGAGAAAAACGAGGCACTCTGATGCTGTAAAGATGTACAGTCCTGGAAAGCCTAGGGAGCAGTTCTGCTCTGTCCCGTAGGGTGGCATGGTTTGAGCTGGCGGCGGGGGGTAGGGTGGTGGTGGTGGTGTTACTGGGTTCTACAGAA